ATGGAGTTGGAACAGATGGTATGGTCTTAGGCACTTGGTTTTATTACAGCAATAGAAAAGTAATAAAGACTATGCATGACTCCGTTTTATTTTTAGCCTGATGTGTTAGGGCCTAGTTCAGGAGTTTAGTCCAGAAAAATGGTGACCTGCAATTTTTAACAAGTAAAGTGTGACTTGCTCCAAGCACTCGTAACCATCCTGAGGTAGTAGGTAGTTTCAGGACTGTGAATTTGGGGGACTGTAAAAGGGTGATATGTATGTAGTTTATAGGACATTGCACCTCCAGAGGTTCTGAAGCAGCTCACACAATTAACTAACGCAAAGGAGGGCAAGGTGTCAAATGCCTTTAATCTCAGCACTAGGAGTAGGAGGGTAGAAGAGGCAAGCAGGTCTCTGTGAGTTCTAGGCCAACCTAGTCTACATAGCAAGTTAGCCAGTCAGGGCAGTATAATGAGACCCTGCTGAAGAAGAAGAAAAAGAAGGGTGGAGGGGAAGGAGGAAAAGGAGGAGAGGAGGGAACCAAAACAGAAGCAGCCGCAGCCACCACCACCCCAGTTCCAGCAGCCCCAACATGCTGGGAAAGTAACAAGCTAAGTAAGCATCTGGAAGGCTGACACAGGAGGATTGCTACAAGTTCCAGATCATCGAACTTACTAGTGCGTTCCAAGCCGTCCAAAACTATGACGTGAGACATTGGAAAAAAATAGTTTATGTAATTAAATAGTCCTGGTCAGGGTGTGTAGCGTAGTTTATTACTCTCGGATCTGGTTCTACGACGTGATCCAAAGTCCTAGCTATCACTTGTGGAACCAAGCTGGGTCTGAAGAGGAGATAACTTCTGGGCCAGGGTGTGGCACTGTGGTCATCTTGGATAACTGCCCAAGAATGATACACAAAAAGATAAACATCATGGAGATCACTTAGTTAGGAGTGTGTCTGTGAGTGTAATGGTCTGTCCTGTCCCTTTAAGAGACAAGCCCCGCCTACTCCTTCTCCCCCCCCCCCCACCATTGAGGCAGGCTGATCTTCCTTCTGCTTCCAGTCTGAGCCCTCCTTCCTTTTCCATCTCTCTCCCAAAGAGAAAGCTGCTGATGTGGCTCCTCTCCTCTCCCCCTTCTCTCTCTCTCCCTCCCTCCCTCTCTCTCTCTCTCTCTCTCTCTCCCTCCTTTTCCCCCTTCTCCCTCCCTCCCTCTCCCCTTCCCTTCTAAATAAATATCCCACTAAATAAATACCCACTAAATAAATATCCAACCTCACTCTGCATGGCATGCCTATCCGTCTCAATCTCTCACCCACTAAGCAGCCCCCTGCCTAGGACCCACTGGCCCCTCCTGGCCAGTGGGCCACTCAGGGTCTCCCTGCCTGGGACTGGCTGCCTTCATGGCTCACCATGGTCTCGGGACCAGATGCCCACTGCTGACACTTGGGGACCTGCAGCATTTTATTTTTACCATAATATTGGTGCTTGTGACTCAACCAAGCTCTCCACATTCCCTCCCGCTCGCCCGCCCACGCCCGCCCACGGGCGGGCCAGCTAAGGACACATGGAACCCTGGGCTTAGGAACCAGGTTTCTTTATAACAACTCTACATTGTATCTGCCTGAATGCTGACCTCTGTACACACCAGCAGCTTCAGCGGTGAGGTTTTCCCTTCCAGTCAGCCAACTGCAGCCTTCATGGCTACGGTTGAGCCCTTGGCTCACATTCATATCTGGTTGCTTTCCATAGCTAAAAAACATGACCAGACGAACCAGGGTTAGTCCTCCCACACTAGCATTGCACACACTGTGTGGTGCATTCGACTGGGAACCCAGGGTCCCCTGAATTTTTCTTTCTCCTTTCTTTTCTTTAGGACCACTCATAAGTGGTCCCCACTGTGAGAGACTGCTCAGAGAGACCTCTAGCTCCGCTAGTTTCTGAGTTTCCCATACCGGAGCCAGTCAGGTTTTAACACCCCGCCGGTAGAGAGAGGACGCTCTTCTACAGGTCCTGTGGTGGTTTTGCAGGTTTTCATGTTTTCAGCTATGGTATAAACTCAAACTATGCTCCGCCAGTGTCCCACCGGCTCCATTTTTCCTCAGACTGTCCCTGCCACCGCTACCAACAAGATTGGTCTGATCCACGAGGCAGCTGCTTCAGTTCCAGCCTTTTGTTCCCCGCTGCGGTGGCAACAGGGCAAATCACGCCTCTAAGTGTGTCTTCCATACATGTGGCCACTGCCATTTTGCCTGAGAACAGGTGACCTTACCAACATCTTAACTGAGGTCAGGTGACTTCACCTCCATCTTAACTGACGTCAGGTGACTTCAGGTCGGTGACCAAGTCCCACCATCTTTACTGAGGAATCCCCTGCCTGATTTCCTGGTGTTAACTCTGTTTACATGTGTGTTTTACACAGTGGCATGCCTTTGGTAGGGTCCACCAAGAGCATTCACTTTGCTCAATTCCTGTTTATTGTGTGTATGTGTGTGTATGTGTATACATGTAACTTAAATACACCTATTTTTACTGTTAAATGTTATAGTTCTCTGTTCATTATATCTCATTTCAGACTACAAAGCAATAAGTCTCATGTTTTAAATTGGTTTGTACTTTTTGTTTCTTAATCCAACCCTACTTTACCTGTTACCCGTACAGTCAAGATCAGACTCAGCCCTCTAGGCAGATTCTATACTGTAGTTATAACTCATCTATACCCGGTAAACAGCCCTCAACTGCTCGGAGATCTAGGGAATATGGCGCTTAAATGCTTAATTATTTTTTTTAAAAAAAGACTTTTTATAACAAAAAGAGACAGGTTGGCTCCTAGCAGGAGACCCCTACTTCTTCCCAAGAAGACAGAAGACAAACGAGCACAGAACAACATCCATCCACAATTCGCTTCAACTGCCAAGTGTTCATCACTGGACAAAACTGTCTTTCATCCAAACTGAAGATATCCAGACAGTGGACTGAATCACCGAAATCGACAGCCTAGCTGTTCAGGTCAAGGTAGGCTTGTCTTCCTACAGATTTCTTAGCCCACAGGATCTTCTGGAGCCTGGCAGGCCCGGTGCTAAACAGCAAAAGGCAAGTACGACCCTCAGCGACCATGGAGGACCCCGAGGAGTAGCTCTAGGTGCCAACCAAGTAAGTTCCCCATTGTTTTTTAACCAATAACTCAAGTAAAATGTTATCCTTCTCAAAGATCTCTGATGCAGTTTGACAGCTGAGAGGTTTTGTCGTTTAAAAGGACAGCCTCACCAAACAAATTTCAGTAAAACACAAATGCAAGTTATTAAGGTGTGTAAAGGTGTGAAGATGAGTACATCTGTTACAGCCATTCTGACACAAATACGCGACTGCTTATCTTGTGAGTTCCAGGGAACCAAATTGAAGGCTTAAACAAGTCAGATACACCCCTCTCAATCTCCTGGTCCTAGATTTTTTTTTTCCCTAAACTTAACTTTGTCCTCTGTTTCGCCAATACCTTAAGCAGGTGTAAGAGACACCAGACATTTCCATACCACAAACACCAGACAGGAGCAAAGAGACCAGCTACCCCAGAATGTGACTAGCACCCAACGAGGAAAACCAGCAAATCCCAATTTACAGCAGGTCAGTGGAACAGAAACTCAGGTAAAACAACCTGGGGCTTCCACTTGGCACTGGAAGACAGAGCAGATCTGTAGGGTGTCATCTCACCTACGGGATCTACCACCACACGCAGGAAGATGGTGTCAGAACTCAGAGAATGAAAGGACACGCAGCTGATACCTCCTCGAAGATATTATTGGTTGGTGGTGGAGAGACATGACCGAGGGTCACAGAAGTCTTCTGTGTGGATTGTAGAGAGCATCAGAAAAATAACAGGTGCCCCCTGACACAACTTCTCCGGCCTTCTCCGCCTGACTGTAGGGTTAATTTGGAGCCAGGTCTTGGAAAGGACAGTTGGTGATCTGATCTGTGCAATAGACCGGGCAGGCCTGGGCTGTCTCTTCCTTGTGTTGATGAAGATCCCTACTTTTCCTCCCAAGCTGTGAGCAGGTGCAGCTGCAATCACAACCACCTGTTCCTTGTCGCTAGGGACACTCCTTTGCTCCTTCTTCAGTAAAGGAAATTCTTCCCTGGTTGTGACATTCCTTTGACCTTGAGCACAAAACCTGATCTCACGCTAGCCACACGGGAGATCCTGCCCCAGTTTCTACCTACTTACCTTTCGCTGGGGTTCTGGTTGTCAAGGCAACACTCTGTCAGGAGCTTACCCTCTGAGCAAATGCCATCTGGATCTTGCAATGACACCTTACTGATGCCTTCTCGGGACTAGGAATACAAACCAGGGCAGCTCTCTATTGTTTTTTAGCTTTTTAATTCTCCAGTCTCTGCAGAGGCATCCTCAGTATGGTATAGCACCATCGCAGTAAGACTGCTTCCTGAATGTCATCCAAAACAACCCTTCAATCTCACCTCTCTGATCATCTGACGCAGCCAGTGTTAACGGATCTGGGCAAAAAAGAGCTCAAGAGCATTTTACAAACTTTCTATTTTTTCTTTTCTTTCTTTCTTCTTTTCTTTTTTCTTTTTTCTTTTTCCTTCCTTCCTTATTTATTCATTTTCTGTTTTGGTTTTTAATTAAAGCCTCCAAAAGAAGATAGGGGATCAGTGGGAGGGTGTGCTGCCTAATTGTAAGGTTTAAACAAACACTCAGGTGGAAGTGGGCAGAGAAGCTGAGAGATGGAAAGATGAAAGCCTTGCAGCGAGGATACCTGAGACCCCATGTGGTTTGATCTTTCTCTATAGACACAGGGAAGCCTGGCTCAATCCATTTGGTCTGATTAATAGTTTATTGTAGTTAACGCCAGGTGTCTGACACTTCGGCTTCCTCCCAATTCACTCGCGCCAGATCGCGGAGGTAGATCGCGGGGCTCAGGAAGAGAAGCCGAGGCGGGGCGTTGGGCGTGGTTTTCCAGGGGCGTGTCGGAGTGGGCGTGGTCTGGGAAATTCCCCGGCTCTGGCGGGAGCAGGCGCTGCGGTCAGCTGAGCGGCGCCCGGCGGGTCGCGAGGGCGCGCGTCACCGTCCGGCTGCCCGGTCGCCGTCCCCCGGCCGGTCCTTGGCGGGCGTCGGCCTCCAGAGCTCTGGTACTGGGACAAGATGCCAACGAAGCAGTGACCTGAGAGGAGCGAATCCCGGAGGTCGGTGAGCCGGGCCGGAGGTGGCGGGCGCTGGCCGAGAGCGGCGACTCTCCACGGCGGGCTCCAATCCATCCTGGCAGCGGCTCTCGCTGTAGCCGTCTCCGGGAGCTTGCCGCGGGGAGGGTGACGAAGCTGGGGCGGTCCTCTTGTAGGATGGCTTCCCTGGGAAGGCTTCCAAGGCCCAGGCCGATCCTGACCTGGTGTGAAAGGGCAGCAGGGATGTGAGTTGGGGGATGGGGGTGGCGGCCGCCCCAAAGGACCCTCCCCCCCATTCCCCAGGGTGGTAAAACACAGACTTGAATGGCCGCAGGTGACTTCCAGTTCAGGTCACTAAGGTGGTTTGAAGGTGACGTCCCGTGTTGATAGCGATTAAGCAAGGAGTCGGTTCATTCTAAGAAGGAAGTGGTTAAAGGTACTGTCGCAAGGAATAAAGGCATTCTGAATGATGTGGCCCAGAAACAGTAAAGAATCGAGACCCCTTGCCAAAGTGGCAGCTTACAGAAGAGTACATAAACTGTTGTGTCTGTCTGGGAGAGTGCGCTATATCCGTGCATGTATATACTCATGTATAAACTCAAAGTATGTTTGTATGTGTGAGGGGAGGGAAGGTGGGGAGAGAATATATGAGAATGAATTTAATGGAGCTGAGAACTGTAGACTAATTGTTTTGGATCACGGTCAATGTTTAAATTGGAGGCAATAAACAAGCCTCAGAGGAAAACGAAACTCAGTCCCTGACGTGGCCTCCACTATCAGGACTCCTGTAAGGAGGAATGTACGCCAGAGGTGTTTAACATTGAGATGGAAAACCTCAGGGAGAGCCTCAAGACGAGAACGTAAGGCAGCGTGGGGCCATTTGGCGCTTTCACAACTATCTCCAAAGCTGCCCTTTTACCCGAAGCAGCCTCACTCTTTTGGCCTCGGGAGAGGAGGAGTCCCGTTGCTGTAGGGTTGATAATAGGGTAGAGCTGGACCGAGCAGAGGCCACTGCCAGAGATTGCCTTGGATTTGATTGGACAAGTGAACTGTGCATGTTTGATCTGTTTACACTGAGCCAGTTTGAGCAGTACTTTGTTTTGAGTGCAACACCGTCAAAGTAACTAGTTTTTACAATGGTCCTGTAAATTACATAGCGTGGGGGGGGGGGGCAGGGAGGGAGGGAGAGAGAAGAGAAGGAAGGAAGAAGGGAGAAAGGGGCAGAATCTATATTTTGTGAGACTTAATGAAATAAACTTGAAAGGAATTAGTTATATCTTCCCCCTGAACACCCTCGTTTAAGTAGCACATAGTTGTTCTGGCCATGAAATATACCTACTGGTCCCCAAATCAGTTTTCCTGATTTTTTTTTTATTATAGAGATTTAGCATGTTAATGAGTTTTTGGATTTCCTGGAAAATCAAAATCCAAAAGCAATAGAAATTAAATTTTTAAATTGTATTATATTTATTAATCATCTATGTGTGCATGTTTGTGTGCATGTATGTTCATGCACGTATGTATGCATGTGCTTGCCATGGTGTTCAAGTGGACACCAGGGGACAGTCTATGAGAGATCCATGGATCCAATTTCAGTTGTCAGCCTTGGCAGAACATGCCTTTACCCACTGAACCATCTTTCTGAACCTTAAAATCTTTTGTTTTGGTTTGGTTTTGAGACAGGGTCTCCCTATGTCTACCTGACTGGCCTGAACCTCGCTCTGTAGACCAAGCTGGCCTTGAACTCGGGGATCTGCTTTGTCTTTCCCTCTCAAGTGCTGAGATCAAAGGCATGCACCACCACCCTCCCCAAATCCTTTAGGTTGAATTTATTAAGGCTTTCCTTGATTCTGCTTCGGCATGTGTGTGATAACAAGTTACTAGAATGTACGTTGTATAATAATCTCCTCATCCCTTGTGGTGGTAGAGAAAAACAGTTCTGACTTTAAAAATGAGTTTGAAAAGTTGACTTCAAGAATCTGGATACGAGCACCCTAGAGCCGCAGGAAACTCATAACAGTACCAACATGTGCTAACATGTACATTACAGTCCTAACATGTGCTAACATGTACATAACTGTCCTAACATGTGGGGCTTGTGCTCGCACAGTAGAAAGCACTTTACAAGTGTTGGACTTGAATAGCCCTCACTAGGCTGTGTTTTCATCTTGTTTCAACACACACACAGAGGCTGCTGTGTGCCAGTCTCTAGTGAGAAAAAGAGGGAGAGAAAGTAAATAGTCTAAAAACGGCAGTAGTTGGTGGGGGGGGGGGACTAAGGAGCTGGAAATACAAATGACTCTTAGATGCTCAGAAGAGCTGCTTCTCCACAAAATGTCAAATGTTGGACATTGAAACTGCCCCGTGGATGTGTGCCAGAGCAAATGGAAACCAGACATTTCCCAGGCAGAGGACACCACAGAGGCAAGGACATAGAGGCCAAGAATGCATGGAGCCATGAGCCCTTTAATGTGGTGTTTGTGGCTTGGTGACAGGAGGTGGCATTGATGCATATGGAAAATTAAGCCTGGAAATAAATAAAAATGAAAAACTCTCATGAACTTCAATTGCAGCAGGACTGAAATGAAAAGAGAAGAATGCTATTGAAGTCCACTCATCTAAAACCTGATAATTTTTTTCTTGTGTGCACCACAGTACTGGGGACACAGCAACAGACAAAACAGGCGGAAGTTGAACATGGCCATTCACAGACAAAATTAAAGTCCAAGCCTAAGCGTTTAGGGTTGGAGACATGAGGGGTTTGGAAGCATTTTGGAGGTATAAGTGACGGGACTTGACGACCCCTTTAGTTTTGAGAGGAGGGGAGTGGAAAGAAGGGAGCCTACTGCCGTGTCCCTGCCTTCAGAAGTGAGTTAAGTCTGTTTCTGTTTTCTGTGTATCCCTAAGTCATGGAATAGCCTTACTAGGAGCATTCCTAGCAAGCAACAGCAAGACTTTTTTACTCCAGAAATAAGATGTGTGTGTCCCACCTTTCTTTTCCGCAAAGATAAGTACCTTTTTCTATTTATTCTGTCCGTATGGGCATGAGTACACACTTGCCGTGACATACGTGAGAAGGACTCAGGATAACTTGTAAAAGTCACTTTTTCCTTCTGATGTGTGGATCCTGGGGATCAAACTGGAGTGATCAGGCTTGACAACAACAAGTGCCTTTACCTGCCAAGCCATCTTGCTAGCCCCCTTCATTCCCTTTTGTGAATGGAAACTATTGACTTTCTTCAGGAAATAGGTCTTCATTGTTTAAAGCTAATTTACCAGGCTGCAGAGATGGCTCAGCAGTAAGAACACTTTCTGCCCTTCCAAAGAACCTGAGTCCTATTCCCAATATCCACTTCAGACGCCCCCAGCTCTGAGGAACCCAGTACCTATGGCGCCTGCATTCACATGCACATACCACATATGAACACACGCCTACACACCCACACACAAAGACTTCATTTACCCATGGAGGTATTGAACCAGTTAATACTTCATCCGTAGATCTGAAGGCTCATCTCCACCAGGGAAAGGGACTGGGCTTGTTTTGCATCCAGTGTCCAGTGAGTAGAAGTTGACATAAGGCAGATAACTGGGCACATGGCCTTCTGGCTGTCAGAGCCATCTGTAATGGAAGAGACATTGCCTGCTGGGGGCAGCAGGGGTGGTGGGCGTGGCTCGTGTGTTCTCAGCCAGCTCTGTGCAGCCATGCACCATGGAAACCACACAGACATTCTTGTATTGAATAAGAAGTCAGAGTAGATTATCTCTAAGGCCAACTCAGAAATGAGATTTATGCCCATGTCTCAGGGTCAGGTCATTACTATAATTCCTTGACCTCAGAATAAAGAATAAGAATGCACCTGACTAGGGACTCGAGGAGCACATCGAGGGAATAAAGCTGGGGCTTCGCTTCTGACTTTCTACCTTGCTCATTCCCAGACTTTCTTGTTAGTGAAATCTTGACAAATCCTGTTCTTCTAACTCTATCCTCCCACAGGAAGCTGGGCTTGCTGTGTAGCCTAGGCTGGCCCAGAACTTCTAACAACCCTCTTGCCTCAGCTTCCCTGGTGATGGGAGTATAAACTTGCACCATCATGCATGTCTAACATTTTTTGGTTTGTCTTGTGGTAAATCTTTTTCTTTCTTTCTGTTTTGGTCTCATACTGTAGACTACACTAGTCTGGAACTCACTGTGTATCCCAGGTTATCCTCAGACTCATAGCTTTCCTCCTGCTTCAGCTTCCCAAGAACTGGGTTACAGGTATGCCCCACCTCCCGCTTCTTCCTAAATGTCTTTGCCCAGAAATGGCACTGATTAACCCAGATCAGCTGGATTTCTATGAGGGATCCTGTTAGAGGGAACTTGCCAGTAAATACTTCTTTCCAGTTTTTGTAATCTCTGAAGATACAAAAAAAGATATGCATGTCGCTCTGTGTTTGCTTGGTTGAATGTCGTTCAAGAGGAAGTTAAAGACTTAGACATTCAGGCCCTAGTGAGTTGGTTCAACAAGTAAAGGTTCTTGCTGCTAAGCTTGGTGGTCTGATTTCCACCCTTGGGACCCAGATGGTGGAACAGAAGGACAGAAACAAGCTGTCGTCTGACCTCCACATAGATGGCATGGTGCTTGTACTCACCCATGTGCTGGGGTGCTCTCTCTCCTCCCTCCCTCCCTCCCTGTGTGTGTGTGTCATACATGCACAGATGATAGATAGATAGAGGCGGGGGGCTAAAAATGTTCAGCGATTTTTGAGATTTAAGTATCCCCTCACTGCATTCTACCAGTAGGTGTTTCACATATACCTCTGTATAGTGGTAGTCCACACTGATACCTGAGTGTCCTTTGAGTGTTCCACTGCTGTCCTTCAAGCTGCTTTTAGTAAAATGGTGGTAGGATTTGAATGCTTGCATCTGCAGGATATGCTAGCTTCTTATTCACTGTGACATTTGAATTATGGAATTGATTTCCTAACCCCATTTGACAAAAACGTGACTAGGTGTGTGCTTGTGAGAATGGTCAGTGTAATGGTGGGACTGGCAGGGGATGTGGGGCGAGGAATACTGGGCATGCCTGTGTTGAAGGGTAGAGGTGGGACTGTGATCTTTCTAGAAAATTAAGCATACCTTTTAGAGTTGCTGAGCTGAGACCCATGAGGAGCATTATCCACTGATGAGTCAGTAAATAGCCTGTGGAGATCAGGTGGCTCTCCCAAGGCCACACACTCTGATGAATCAGTACAACTGACTCTTCTACTGTCTCACCTAGCACAGCCCTGCTTTTTTTCGAGTGTCCTTGTAAACTCTGGGCGACCTGCACCAGTTAGAAGTTTGATGAGACCAAGGCCAGCTCTGCTGTGGTTGCATCTATAGGCTCAGTGTGGGTGCACGTGAAGGTCAAGGAGGAGAGCCAGCTCAGCAGTCTTCAGAACAGTCCTCTCCTTCCCATCCCCATCCTCTCCCTCTTCCCCTTTCTCCTTCCTGGCTCTGTTCTTCCCCTTCTCTTCTTTCCTTTTCTTCTGATAAAACCATGAAGAGATAGCTTGTTGCTGGGTGTTAAGTGTGGTGGGATGCCTGTTATCCCAGCCGTGAGGAATTTAAAGCAGGACTTTTTCCAGTTTGAGGCTATCCTGGGCTACATTGCTAGCCTCTGTCTCAAAATTATATATATATAATATATATATATATATATAATATATAATTATTAATATTATATATATAGAGAGAGATTTATACATGTAAGATGTTGATTTATACATGTAAGATGGAACTAGACACATCTTCTAGATGTCTGTTTATTTTTAAAAATCTGTTGAGATGGGCATAGTGACTCATCTTTGTAATCTCAACACTCAATATATGAAGGCAGGAGGATCACCATAAACTCAAAGGCAATCTACTCTACGTAGTGAGTCCCAGGCCAACCTGAACTATAAAATAAGACATCGTCTCAAAAGGCAAAGATAAAAACAAAATTAAAAGAATGTGTTGGGTATAGGTATAGCTCACTGGAGCATCCATGAGACCCTGGGTTCTTTCCCTGGCACCCACTTCCCAACACACACAAAAGCCTGTTAAATATTTCTGTAGTTTGGCAGATATATACCTGCCAAATATTTCCTGCCAGATATTTCCTGAGTTTAAATACCTCAGGAAAATTTGCTGCTGTTCCAGAAAATTCCATTTTTATGAAATGTTATCACCAACATCATTATGTACAAAAATAAAAATTTTAGTTGGTTCTTTCTTTCCTAATATGTATGTACATATTGCTTTCCAGTTTATTTATTGAGGCAGGACCTTTTCACTGAACCTGGAACTCACAAATTCCAGCTAGTCTAGCTGTCCAGCTTGCCCCCAGGGTCCAGTCTCTTCCTCCCAAATGCTGACATTACAGAAAGCCACTATGCCCTTCTGGCTTTATATAGGTTCTGGGGATCCAAACTCCAGTCCTTGTGTTTGCACAATGAGCATTTGATCCCCTGGACCATCTCCTCAGACCCTTTCATTGACTTGCAGGGGCAGGTTTTCACCATATAGCCCACAATGGTTTGAAATGTCTGATCCTCCTACCTCAGCCTCCTAAGGCAGTGAATAGGTGTGCACCATTACACTCAATTGTTTACTGAGTTTTCTGCCCTGCCTGGTTCCTGCAGTCGTTAAATGTCTTTTTTATTTTAAGAACTTTAATCTTTTTTTTTCTCTCCCAAGCCTCTATATATTCTTAACATACTGGAAACCATTTAGAGGTTTTATTTGTCTTTTAATCTCTCTTTTCTGTATATCTCTCTTTTTCTGACCACATGAGTCTTTAATTTGATAAGCGATATGGCTAGAATTAAAGCCATGGCTTTGGCAGCTGGGTCCAGCCCATTTCTTAGCTGTCTGAGATTCCAGCCTCATGGCGGAGGTACCGGCTATAGCCATGTTTATTGCCACAACTCTATGGCGTTTCAAGGTCCCTGCCAACAAGCAAGCTGCAGCAGTCTGCTCACAAACCACTCAAATGCTCTCTCTGTAGCTGGACCTCCTGCCTAGAAGAGTCAGTTTGCACTGGCAGGACAGCACAGAAAGTCAGCATTTTAGAAATGGCGCAGCTTTTTTCCTGCTGCTTCTGAAAACTAAAAAGCATGCAGTCAGCTTTTCATCAACACCATTTAAGTGTTGCATGGCAGAACCTCTTGAAAGAGCTGCAAAGTTTTACAGCTAAAGCTGAGTCAGGAAGCCTCTCTTAAATGAGACGCATTTGCCTCTAGCAAACAGAGCCCACCTGAGAAAATGCTGCTATCAATAAGCTTTGTTTAACTCTATTCTTTTCTGTCTAGAATTACTTCCCAAGCTCTCTCAGGCTTTATGTGGATGCAGTTGCCCCACATTGGGTGCCAATTGTTGCAAGGAGAAGGCTGCTTGTTCATCCCAGTCACCTGGCTAACTTAGCCCCAAAATAACCACACAGAAACTGTATTAATTAAATCACTGCTTGGCCCATTAGCTCTAACTTCTCATTGGCTAACTCTTACATATTAATTAAACCCATCTCCATTAATCTGTGAATTGCCACATGGCAATGGCTTACCAGGTAAAATTCCCAGCATCAGTCTCTGGCAGATCCATGGTGTCTCTTTCCTCTTTCCTTCTTGTAGCATGCCATTTAGTTTTTCCCACCTATCTAAGTTCTGCCCTATCAACAGGCCAAGGCAGTTCTTTATTCATTAACCAATGAAAGGAACACATAGACAGAAGGACCTCCCACACCATTCATTGCAAAAATAAATTTTATGGAAAGTCAGAAACATGGGCTTTACCCAGCAAAAGTACAGGGAAGGCATCTTAAATTAGTTCAGTTAGGTAAAACCCATTTCCATTCAGAGACAAGAGAGTAATGCTTGCTCAGTGTTTCCCCTCTGTGAAATTGCCATCCCCCTTGTGTACTTTATGGGATGCATTTCTTCTTAGCAGATGCTTTAAGTAGCACAGCCAACCTGTTCTCCCCATCAGTGCTAGCACTGCAGTTTACCTAACACAGTCCTCAGACTAGAAGCAGTGCATCAGACTCTTGATTGTAGAGAACCTGAAGAGAGCCCAGGATTCTGCCTCCTACAGGCATAGCAAGAGCCCCTCATTCTGTGCATCTGGTCTTCTCTGCATCTCATCCCAGGGCTTTCTGTGGCACCAGTGGCTCGCTACTCTATCATATATGTGTGAGTATATACCGTGTGTCTGTGTGAGTATATACCATGTGTCTGTGTGAGTATATACCGTGTGTCTGTGTGAGTATATACCGTGTGTCTGTGTGAGTATATACCGTGTGTCTGTGTGAGTATATACCGTGTGTCTGTGAACCAGAAGAGGGCATCAGATTCTCCAGAGCTGGAGTTACAGGCAGGTTTGAGCCATCTGGCATGGGTGCTGGGAGTCAAAGGGGAACAAGTGCTTTTAAATACTGAGCCCAAGAAATAATATTTTTTAAAGACTTATTTATTTATTTAATGTACACTGGTGTTTTGCCTGTACTGTGCGAGGAGTTAACAGACAGTTGTGAACTTCCATGTGGGTGCTGAGAATTGAACCCGGGTCCTCTGGAAGGGCAGTTAGTGAGTGCTCTTAACCACTGAACCATCTTTCCAGCCTGAAATAATATTTTTTTAACCATCTCTCTGGACATCAGTCATTTTTCCTTTGTAGAACAGGGCAATTGTGTGTGTGTGTGTGCATGCGTGCATGTGTGTGTGTGTGTGTGTGTGTGTGTGTGTGTGTGTGTATTTTACATCTACTTTATATTGTCTTATGGTCTATCCATGTCAGTTCATGATGGGAATATCTATCATTTTCATGAAGCATGAAGATGATTTTTTTTGCCTGGAATGTGTATGTAGCCAGTCATTGGAAAGATGTCCTTTTGCCTGAGTGGTAGGTAATAAGGAAGTAGAATTGGCATTTATTCTTAGATGTGTGTTCTCATCGACACATCTATGAAATAAAACCATATACATAGAAGTGTTTCCAGGATATGTAGTAGGCATCAAACTGCATTAGTGTTTTGTGTGTATTAACTGATAAATATCATATCAAAGCCTCAATAAAAACGAAACTTTACTTTTTTGCCTTTTTTTGTAGTAAAGATGGCATCTTCACATCAACCTTGCTATGTGCCACTTCTGACCTTAGGTGAGCTGTTACACCTGTTAAACCTCACCTGGATGATCAAGAGTAGATTCCAGCACAGAAGCAGGCAGAAGCAGGCAGATCTCTGTGAATTCAAGGCCATCCTGGTCTACAGAGTGAGGAGGTCCAGGACAGCCAGAGTTGTTACATAGAGAAACTCTGACTTGAAAAACCAAAGAGAGAGGGAGAGAGAGAGAGAGAGAGAGAGAGAGAGAGAGAGAGAGAGGTATAGTAGAGTGTTTCAGCACATACTAAGCCTAAGAATTGCCAAAAATAAACATTACCTTCCATTCCTTTTTATCAAAGATAAAATATGGAGATTTAATAGCTTTCAATAAATATAAAATATGCAGACTCTAATAGTTTTCAATAAATATAAAATATAGAGATTTTAATAGCTTTCAGTAAATATATCAACGACGATCTTAATAACTTTATTGAAGTCTAATTCCCAAACAATAGAAATCACTCAAAATAAGGAGGTTTGAACTGAAAGACTTGAGGGGATTTACGTAGTGTGATCTTCACCAAGGCTACAGATATTTTCCTAATTGTTATCAATTCTACAGTTTCCGTCTCATTCAGTTCTGTCTCTTTCTACACATGGTCCCGTGAAGGTGGGCAGTGCCGCTGATGTTTAAAGGGAAAGTTTTCACAGTGCACCCGGAGAGAAGGCCAGCAACCTTGGGAATAACTACCACTCGTTACTAACAGATTTGCGGGCCTTTCCGAGGCCTGTGACAGACTGGCAACAGCTATGTTTTGAGCTTGTGGCTTTTCCATAGGACCCGTTGCCATGTCCCATCAACCTCTGAGCTGCCTGACTGAGAAGGGGGACAGCCCCTGTGAGACCCCAGGAAATGGACCCCCCAGTATGGTTCACCCCAGCCTGGACACGTTCACTCCTGAGGAGCTGGTGCAGCAAATGAAGGAGCTCCTGCTTGAGAACCACCAGCTGAAAGGTGAGCAGGCCTGTCGTCTGGATCCGCCACGCAGGAGACACAGTCCCTTCTGAAGAAGGCTGTAAGTGAGGTCCTTTCTCAGCCTGTTTCCCTAGAAACCGCACAGCAAGACTCTGAGCAGTGCTACAAGGCTTTCTGTTTACATATTTTACAGGTCAGACTAAAAACTACTCTGTTTAGGGGCTGAGAGTGTAGATCGGTAAAAGAGAGCTTGCCCGGCATGTGCAAGGCTCTAGGGTGGATCCTTACCACTGTACAAAACAAAACAAACTAGCTCAGAAAATAGTCTAATGACATTTAGCCCATTTAAAAGGAAAACGAGAGGCACCTCTAGCTACAGTTAGGTGGGAACATTACTTGTCAGGAGAAAGCATTCCAACTAAGCATGATGGTGCATGGCTGTGTCCTGACTCCAGAACAGGCACAGGGGATTCCAAGTGCAGAGCTGCCATGTGCTACATAGCAAGTTCAAGGACAGCCTGGGCTATATACGCAGTGAAACTTTGTTTCAAAAGAGGATTATATTCTAATATCTCAAGCCATGGCTAATTAAATATCATAATCAAAGAGTCTTCCAGACTTTTGATCATTAAGAGGAATTTATATCCCCAAATCAATTTTATCTGAGAAATTTTGTTGTTTTGAGAGTGTCTTGTGTAGACCAGGATGGCCTCCTGCTCGCTACATAGCTGAACCTGACCTTGAACTCTACATTGCCCTACCTCTGACCTCCTGAATGCTGGGAGTACAGTTATGAGTCACTGTGCCTGGCCTTTCTTGTGACCTTTAAGAACCAACAGTGTTGTTCTAGTTTGTAAGCAAACTCTACTGCCATTGCTGTAGTCTTTTTCCTGCTGATGTACCCATCCTAGGCCACTGGGGCATGTTTAGATCCAGAGCCCAGAGTATTGAAATGGCCAGAGGAAGAGCTGATTCATGAAATTCCATCCATTCCCTGGTGGGTGACTCCCTCTCTCTATACCCCAAACAGAAGCCATAAAGCTAAATAATCAGGTCATGAAAGGACGATTTGAGGAGCTTTCAGCCTGGACAGAGAAGCAGAAGGAAGAACGCCAGTTGTTTGAGACACAGAGCAAAGAAGCTAAGGAGCACCTGATGGCCTTGAGTCAAGAAAATGAGAAACTGAAGGAAGAGCTTGGAAAACTAAGAGAAAAATCAGAAAGGCGGTTTGAAGTGAGTACGTGATCCACCGTGGTTTTATTTTCTTAGTATGTACAGTTGTGTGACAAAGCTTTTCCTGGGGAGATACGATATACTCGTCTACTTACTCCAGACAGGAATCCATGACAGACCAAAGTACGGATACCACCACTGCCCAACTTGGTGAACCAATGAATTTTATTAGGGTTACTTACAGGAGTATCTGTGAGTGGCTACTTACAGGTGCAGAAATAACTCAAAGGCAACTGCATCACCAACCCCACCCTAGCATGGGCAACACAAAAGCTAAGAAACCTGGAGCACACTGCACAGCCTGCAGGCAGCTCGACCAGCTGGAGAGTGTCCTCTCCAAGTGACTGCAGTCTGAACCTCTTCCAGGCAGCTCAGCTGCTTTCTGCTTCTTCCAGACAGCTGGTCTGGTCTCAGTAGTCTTCTTTGTATTCCTCTCCTCTCATTGTCTTTACAGCTCAGCTTCCTTCTGTCAGAGGGGACAACTCAAACTAGCTTCAGGAAGTCCCTGAAACTGACCAGATCTTATTAGGTCCCTCCCTGCCAGAGAACTCAATAAAAGCTGAGAGTCCACCTTCCTATTTAAAGAGCTTGCCTGCAGGAAGCAATGTTTCTGTCTGGGAGAAATCTACACAGCAGCAGTAGAATCTTCCTGGTCTGGACTGTTAGATCAACCACTTTGTGTGGTTCAGGCTGGACTGGTGTTTTACATGGTCTTGGAAGCAGTGTGGTTTTGCTAGAAACACTGGCAGAGTCATTTATAATCTTTGTTGGGAAGGGATTTTTATAAGGGTAGAACTGAGGAGATGACTCAGTCTGTAAATGCCTGCCATGTGAACGTGAGGACCTGATCTCCAACACCCATGTAAAATCTGGCATCTGTAAATTCAGCACCAGGGGCCTGAAACTCATTGGCCGCATAGGTGAATCAGTGGGCTCCATGTGCATGTTCACCCTCACACCTTCATGCACATACCTGCATGATACATACATACATACATATGATATATATGTGTGTGTACATGCATATATATATACACATATATCACAAATCAGAAATTTATAAGATCTCATACAGTATATCAAAAGATAATTATGAGCTAGGCATGGTAGTTTCCAGTGTAATCCCAGCACTGTAGAGACTGAGGCAGGTGGATGGAGAGCCCAAAGCTAACCTGGACTACATAGTGAGTTCCAGGCCTATGAGACTCTCTGTCTGAACAAAAAAAAAAAAACTAAAAGTATATTCAGGTTATAAATCAGTGTTTCACATTCATTAAAATGGTAGGTGAGGCAGGGGGGCTAGAGAGATGGCTCAGAGGTTAGGAGCGCTAACTGCACTTCTAGAAGTCCTGAGTTCAATTCCCAGCAACCACATGGTGGCTAAAAACCATCTATGATGAGGTCTGGTGCCCTCTTCTGACATGCAAGCAGAACACTGTATATATAATAAATGAATAAATCTTTTAAAAAAAAATAGTAGGTGGACCTCTGCCCAGAGGGCATCCAATTGTTAGTTCTTAGTTCCTTTCCTTGATATAAAATTAGACTTTACAAATGTACCTTGGAATGCTTACTTTTGGCCTTTATATCCTTTTACATAATGATGATTCCCTTTACAGTTGGCTTTTGAGAAATTACTTAGGAGTGGCATGTTGTAATATGGGACACCGACTACAGGGCTGCCGTGGTTAAAGAGAAAAACGGTCCTGTGAAATCCATCACCCCTGAGAACATGTGTCAGAGATACTAACAAAGGGCAAACCAGAGCACACTTGATCCCAGCTGGTCCTCCAAGGCCCCAGGTGACATCTGGGTGACACTGCTGTCTGTTCCTCCCAAACCTCATACTTAACCCTTCCAAGAATGGAGCATCTAGGGCCATGTGTAGTGAACTGGTACATATCTCTGATCCCAGCACTCAGGAGGATTGCCCCGAGTTGGAGTACAGCATGGACTATATAATGAGTTCCAGTCCATCCTGGGCTACATAGCAAGGCTCTGTCCTAAATAAACAACAATACAAACAAAACAAAAACAGGTGTGGAGATGTGAGTTTGTAACCCAGCCCTGGATGGAGGCGGTTGGGGGCTAGTCAATCTAGCTGCAGTTGCGAGGGCCAGGTTCAGTGAGACACAGTTTCTCAAGATAATAAGGTGAAAATAAATAAAAGTGAGGAATAAATTAGGGAAGATATCTTGACACAGCCTCTGACCCACACCCACATGCATGGGCAAGTGCACTTGCATATGTGTGTACACATGCATATACCATACACATATACAAAAAAAATCATGCTAAGACTGGGGTGTAGCTCAGTAGTAGAGCACTTGCCTAGCATGCACAAGATTCTGGGTTCAATCCCCAGTAATGAACAAATGACAACAAAAAAGAATTCCATAAACTGTAATTATTTCAAGTTAGGAAAGGAGGGTGAAGCATGGTGTCTTGTACAGCAAGCTGTAGAGGCTTCCTGCGGAGGGAACCAGGGAGGCCTGGGAGGTCATAGAAGAGACTACGGACTGTGTGGTGTCCAAGAAAACTGAGGCTGGGCCTGCAGAGAGTCTGCTGAGGACCACATCCCTAGAGAGCAGGGAACACAGATGAGTCTGTTCTCCCCAGAAACAAGGCACCGCTTCTGAACAGGCTTGTTCTCCCATTGCTGTCATATGTGGTCGTTACATCAGGGTGAGCTTAACCCATGTGACATATGTTTCACATCTATGCAATAATAATATGTATTGTTGATTCTATATGGGCTGAAATTTAGCTTTTTCTTAGTCCTTGAATTTCTGTCTTCTTTCTCCCAGGTTTTTCCATCTTCCACCACCAGCCTAGAGTAACATCCCCAGCAGTTAGCATGCAGGGAGAACTGGAGACCTTTTCTTATCTTGCCGTCCCTGAACCAGATCACATTCTTGGTGCTCTGGTTTCTGACTGCACCTGGGGGGCAGGGAGTGGAGATGTGGGTGTTTGTGGGGAGGGGTGAAGGTAGAAGGTTGAGTTTTAACAGCTCTTGGTCCTTATTTCTGAGATTTTTTTTTTTTTTTTACCACAGTGTTTGAGTCTACCACTGTCCGAGTCTGGTTGGTTATTTTCAGGATTTTAACCCATGATTCTTGCTTGCTGTGGAAGCCTTTCTTTCTTGTCATTAAGTTATTTTAGATTCCTTGTTTCTTTTTCATATGTGTGACTCTGTGGTTTGAACCTAGGGTCTCTCACATTTGAGGCAAGCTACTACTCGGCTTTACCTCCTGCCCCCAAACTCCTGTTTTATATGGTGTGTCAAAATAAGTTGTTAAATAAGAGGGAGACTCGTCTGCTTAAAGCATAGCAGACGAAAATGTTAGAAAAGTGCCTCCTCTAAAAACAGGCATGGGGCTGGAAATAGAGCTCAGTTAAAGAAGTGCGAAGGACCTGAGTTTAATCGGCAGAACACACGTGGAAAAGCCAGGCATGGTGGTGTGTGTATATAATCCCAGTGCTGGGGATGCAAAGACAAGCAGATTCCTGGGGCTCACTGGCTAACCAGCCTAGCTTACTTGTCAAGTCCTAGGCCAGTAAGAGAACCTTTCTCCAAAATAAAACAAAAACATGGAAGGTGGACAAGATGGTTGGCGCTTAAGGTTGTTTTCCTCTACATACACATGCATACCATGAGCGTATCCACACATGTGCACCCCAACATGCAAAAATAAAGTTGGACGTCGTGGTGCATGTCTATAATACCAGCACTTGGAAGGTAGAGATAGGAGGTTCCAAAGTTGAAGGTTATTCTCAGCTCTGAGTTCAAAGTCAACCTGGGCTCCATGATATCCTGCTGAGAGAGAGAGAGAGAGAGAGAGAGAGAGAGAGAGAGAGAGAGAGAG